AAGATGGTTCAATATCTCTTTCCCTGACACACAGAATATGGGCTTAGTTTAATGAAGCATAATTGGGCCATGGAAGTTTCTGTGTTCTGCACTGATACAATGTGACAGAACAGTGAGCCTGTCGCTGGCATTGGGAATGTACTTTGTCAGGTTCATTTGGATAAACAGATATCCCCAACAAGCCCCTGTATAGGGGAAACAGGAAGAGGAGGCTAAGTGGAGATGTATAGTCACAATTATGGCTAAGCATGGGTACTGGGCATAGTGGTGTTGAGATTAGATTTTAGATTATCTGTTCAAGCAAATAGTTTTTCTAAAGCCTTATGATAAGCATTAACAGCTTGATGTATAAAGCCTGGATTTAATACCTTTACATACTGTTGTACCTGCCAGCAGTATCATCTTATATATAGATAAAGATGCATCGAGCTCATCAGTGGGAATGATTCTTTTACTTTGGTGACAAGCTCACCACGAATCCTTAAAGGTAATTACATGAAAGTACTTTTAGGACTTCTGTACTGAATCAAGGAGATTCTAGAAATGTCTATTAACTTATTAAATCTAGATTATGTGGGACACTAAGATCTATATATACACAGTTGGTGGCACATTCCCAAAGGGAGGAGCTGCTTGTGCCAAACCTGATTGAATCTGCAGGATGAACAGTGAGGGCTGTAGCACTGAGCCTGGTCTGACAGTGAAAGAATTACTAAAACCTGTCCTGGGGGAGTTAAAGCATTGACACAAAAAGGAAGGAGGAGTGAAAGAGAAAGGAAGTTATAAAGGAGATGTTCTCAACCTGGTTAAGGAAAAGGTGCAGGTAACAATAACCACAACATGGTATATACACATTTGTTTGTGACAGAGTGTCAGGTGTGTGTACATCGGGAGTGGTCATATTTGTAAGGGTAGGAATAAAAACTAGTGACAGAGTATTAAATGTCTTTCACTGAATGCTGAAGTTTAAGATATAGAAAAATCTGTAACACTTTCTACAGTAGCAGAACTTGTCACATGTCACACGAGGAAACCAATCAGAGTATTTTTTTGAGATGGAAAGCCACTGCATGGTTGTCACTAGCATTTGAAGGGAATGACTTTGATATTCATGCTGTAATGTCTTCAAAAGCTCATTGTAGTCAGTTTGTACATGTTGTGACCTAAAATTTGCTAACACACAAACTGTGAAATGCTGTTAGCATTTAAGGTAATTCTTCCAAGTTCTGAGTTTATCTTTAATTCCATCAGGTAATGGTAATTGAGCAATGTATTTAATTAGAACAATTGGTCATATTCAAAATACTTGTGGACTTCAGGGGCAGCAGGGTGATCTGTTGGTGGTAAAAGGTTATGGATGATTAAATATTGACTGTAGCTTGTATGGAAGAGAAGGGTAGTAGATATATGGTAAAAACTGGGCTGAGTAGAGAGCAATTAAATCCATTAAGTATTTCTAAATTGTCAGTAATATTAAAGTTGTCTTGTTTGAATAGCTGAGTAATCTCAAAACACAGCAAAACTTCTGATCATACTTTAAGCACTGATTAATTCATTAGACTTTTTGTTTTCGATCAGGATGGCACTTGAAGGATATGCTGTGACTTGGAGTAATTCAGCTTGAAGAGATCTCTGGAGGTCATCTGGTTCAAATCCCAGTGGTTTTGGAGGGAGTCTTCAAAATTTTGTTGTAGATGAGCAGTTACAGTGAGCTAACCTCCCAATAAGCTACAGTAGTTAATTTATTAGTTCAACCTTTTGATTAACTGATTTCTAGAAAAAATTCTGTGCTGTGTCTCTTGACTGTACAGCACCAGCTGTGTAGTCCCCGTGTCCCATGGGTAGGGAGTGAGGGTGGGTGAGGAACTGTGCTCCTTGTGGACAGTGTTCCAGTATTGTCAACTTTTATCCTTGGGACCCTGGATTGAGGCAGTGTGTGGATTTTACATGGGGGCACCACTGTTTTTCTGATTTTTGGGATGTCGTGAGCATGTAAGGTCTGGATCTGTTGAGAAATTGCCATGCTGCACTGCACGTGCATACGATGCATATATTTGGCTTTTCATCTTATTTTTGAGTTCCTATAGCTTATGTGCTTCATGCTGAATGTGACCTACAGATTTGACCATCAATATCACTTTCATCTGCAGAGCAATACTAAACTAAATAGTCCTTTAAACTGACCTGCCCTCTAGCTTCTGTATGTGAGTAATAAATATGATGAGACATTTCATTAAACAAAATTGACTGAGAGGAAGGAAGAAAGTAGGTTAAACCACGTACTTTACAAAACATGAAAGTTGTGTGGGTTTTACTGACCCTACTCTCTTCCCCTCCCCCCCCATGTGTTAATTGTTACTAGTACTAGGTACTAGTTACTCAGCTTCTGTTCACTAGCTAAAAATCACAGATGTTCTGTTTAAAATTTTACTTTGAGAAACCAATTGGCGTGCTACAAATTGAAGCGTGTGCAGGTAGGTCAGCTTCTGTTCACTAATATCCTCCTCCCATGATGAGGGACTACATGAACAGGATACAGAATGGTCTAATGTGCATTTCAAAATTATGCACTATTTTTTTTCTGGAATTTCTAAATTAATTTGGATTGTAGTAAACTTGTATAAAACTATGCACAGGAGCCATTAGAACACCTAATTTTGGTTGCTTGGTGGAAACAGAAAAACAAAGAAATGTGGATAGTTGAAGGTGGAGCTTTCAGTTCTTTTGATTGCCTCTTTGTATGAGTAAACATGAAAAAAATTCAGAAAGTAAATAAGATGGTCCTAGTAAAATGCTGTGTTTATGTAATTTTGTTGGAGGATAACTTTTGGAAGCGTTTGACAGCAGTTAAAGTATATTATATAATGTTTCTCTAAAAATAACAAGGTTTGGGGGTTTTTTTGTCTGAATTATATTAATTAGTTCAGGTAAATGCTGGGAAAACCAGGATCTGTACATAACCAGTACTTACCATATAAGTTACTGATTTACAGAACATCTGTCAATCAGGATATCTCAAGCCAGTTCACTCTACCAGAAAAATCTGAGACTAAGAACGTATATTCACATATAGCTAGTGCTGGCAAGCAGTATTTACGGAGAAGCTTATACTACCTGAGGTTAGTAGCATCCAAAGGTCAAGCTTACTGGCCTTGGACACATCAACTCTGACTTGAAAGTAACACATAGCTGTACGTTTCTGGGTCGTGCTGAATTCAGTCCCAATGTATGCAACTGCCCACAAAATAAAAGGTTATGTAATACTGGTTGTACAGATGCCTGCTCATAACATTATTCTAGAAGTGTGTGTATAACCTTTCTAGAAGAGCAGCAGAAATTACAGTTTTACAGAACAGTTGTGTGTGTTGGTTTTGGTTTTTTTTTTTTTAGAGGAAGCCTTTGAGATATGACCTGAATATGCCTCAGGAAAAAAGTACACTAAATTATTCTGCAGTACACCTATGACTTCTTTCTTTCTTTCTTTCTTTCGTTCTTTCTTCTTTTTTTGTTCCAAGAGCCCTATTCATCTGTGAATGTGAGCACAGAAATGCTAAAAATATCAAATGTCATGTAGGCTTCTCTTTAGGCTTTCCCAGTTTTCATTTCAAAGACATTATGTTCAAATTAACCTCTGGGAGTGGTGCAGCGATACCTGTTACTTCTCCCCATGCTTGTCCCAGATCAGTTACATGCTGAGCAGCAGCATCTTTTGGCTGATTAGAATGGGGGTTCATTAAATAAGTCATGACTGCAGGTGTCACCATGTTGGCCTGTGGTTGTCTTTCTTAAAAGAAATAGGCAAGAAAGCAAAGCTTCTTTTGAGTGCTGAAAATCCACGGGCACTTGGTCCTTTTTATGAGATGTCAGTCTGGAAAATTTAAAACCAAACTTCACATGTAGAAAATACAGAAAGCTTAAATTTATTTAAATGTTAGAAAAAAAGAGATGCTGACTTCATATTTCTGCCTACAGAAATAATCTGATTTTTAGTTTGTGAATTCATTATGTTTAATATTTCAGGTGCCTGTTGCCTGACCTTTGCAATTAAACTATAGTGAAATGCATTGTCACATAATAACTTTTAATATCTGCTGGACATGGAGGTCTTAAACAGCCTCCAGAATGAATTTGAGCATGGTATTTCTGTTCAAAATTCTTGTTTGTAGTATCACATGCACTTTGTGTGCCCTTAGGATGTTTCCTGTGCATGGATGCACAAGTAAGGTCTCCAATTTTTATTTATTATGGGCTTCTCTATGGTTTGTGGTTTTACACACTGTATAATTTTACTTCTTTATTTCTTTAATGTTTCTGAATGTTTTTGGTATTTCTAGAATTACAGGGGAAGATTATATTGTATTGGCCAAGAATTATGTGGTTGTAGTAAAAGTAAATATTATTAAATATTTCTTGCTGTTTCTCTGTCATTTTAAACAGATGATTCACAATTATATGGAGCACTTGGAAAGAACCAAACTTCATCAGCTAACAGGGGGTGATCAGCTAGAATCCACAACACACAGTAGAATTAGGTAAGCTATTTATTATGCTCTCACCCTGAAATGAAAGAAAAAAAATCCATTCATTTGTGTTTGCAAGACTTTGTTCTTTAATCCTACAACAACGGTTTGGCTGAATCGGAAAGATTTGTTGTATGATTGGAATGCAGTAAGAGAATAGTGTAGAAATCAGTAGAAAGAGGCTTTTGCTGTTGTACTGCCAAATGTTGAGATATACTTTGTATGTTAGCCTTAAACAGTTTCAGCTTTTTCGAGTGTTTGCATTCAGGTAGGCAGGAAAAATGTCAGCAGCTGTCCCAAAATACTTGATATCTTGCCATGGCTTTGTGTACAGGTTGATGAAGGTGCGTATCGTGGTACTCATTTTTTCTAAGGGCTTGATGTGAATATATTATGCAGATTTTGAAGCTTTCTAGCCTATGAACTCTGTGTGGAAGGAGGGGAGATTAACTCCAGGGCTGGCTGTGTCTCTGCGTTGCTGCATAGATGCTGCGAGGAGCCCGGCGGCTCCCGGCGCGAGGGGGAGGAGAGCGGTGATGTCATTGCTCTGGAGCTGCTGCAGAAGAGTGGAAAGCTGCTGCTGATGGCATTGTTTTTGTGGCAGCGGCTGAATGACAGACTTTGCCTACAAAGATACACCCTCAGCCCCTGTGTAGCCTTCTTGGTTCCGGCGTTTCACCATGCCAGCACAGCGCCATGAATCCTGGATGCATGCTGCTATTTGTGTTTGGCTTCGTTGGCGGGGCGGTGGTCATTAATTCGGCTATCTTGGTATCTCTCTCTGTTTTGCTGCTAGTGCACTTTTCTATTTCTACTGGTGTGCCAGCTCTGACGCAGAACCTACCAAGGATACTCAGGTACTCTGACCTACTGAACCTTGGCTTCATGTGCTCTTTCTTCTCTGCTTTCCTTTTCCCTTTCAAACAGAAAGAGCAAGGATAAATTAGAGATGTAAATCGTACCTAAATTTCAAATTCTTTTGTAAACATAATATTTATGGACTCGGATATGACAATATATATTTTTAATACACTCAAATTTCACTGCTTTTTAAGCAAGTACAAGGTCAGTTTATCATCTCTTACTTTAAAGAAAGCTATTACATTGGTTTATTGTAACCTGCAAAAAAAGCTGTGATGATAATGTCATGGATAAAGCTCATGTTCAGTTATCAGGTACTTGGCTGATCTTCTGTAGCCATAAATGTATGCAGTCTGAGGCCTTGTACTATTGAATTTCAATTTTTTAATCAGAAGAATTAGATAAGATCAGGTAATTGGTGATCTCAGGAACACAGTAATTAGTTGATCACGTTATTTAAAAAAAAAAATCTGATTATTGGTTGGTGGGAAAAAAAAATCTTTCATTATTTAAGCATTAGAGCTCTTAAAGCCTATTCACCATTGTTCAGCCAAATGTTATCCTCTCCTTCTTTTCTGTACTTGTATGGCAAGCTGCCAGCTCGGTCTGTCCCCCCTCAAGTTATGTTCTGTTTGTCCTAGTTGCCTGGACCAGTAGCAGAGATCTGTTAGAAAATTGTGACCAAAGTAAGCTTGGCAAGTTTTAGTACTATAAATACAAATTGAAAACAGCTGGAAAAGTTTTAAAATGTAGCTTTCTGACCTGAAAACCTGACATACTTCAACTGTGCTTGTCAATTTAATAGTAAACTTTATTTTAAAAGAGAAGAATGCTAGAAAATAGTCTTTTCTGAAAGAGCTGTGTGACTTTTTCTCCTTAATACATGGTGCATGTAGACTTTCTGTGGTAGTATGCTTTTAACTTGGGTCTCTGAGAACAGAAGGGTTGTTCCAAAGCTTTAAAGCCAATCAATAGATTAAAGCAATGCTAGTTATTAATAACTGATAATAAATGTATATGAATATTTAAATATAAAGAAATAAAATAAATTTAAAGTGTAACTCTCCAGACTGATCTAGTTAGTAAAGCTGTGCTTGTTTGAAAGGGGAGGGGGGAGCCAAACACAAAACAAATAACCTCCAACTCTACAAAAAATAACATAAAAAACAAACAAAAAAACGCAAAAGCAAAATACTAACTTCATGATCAATAACTTCTGTGAGGTATTTTACATTTAAGCAGTCAGATGGTTTAAGAAATAGGTTTTTTGTAATGTGCTTTTTCTCCCCTGGAGAATATTTAATGGATTTGAGGTGTTTGGGGAGGCTATGCTTTTTCCCGCCCCTATTAATTTGTTCTAGGAATTACAGGATCTGGAACTCAGTTCCTTAGTCTTTTATTCATTTAAAAGAGATAAAAATATAGGATGAAGGGCTTTAATGGTAGAATTGTTTCTATTTTTTTAACAATAGTCGGATTTTAAAACTAGAGCATCTGGTTGCTTATCCTAAAGGATCCAGTAAATGCTTCAATACATCACTTCAGAATATTAGTTCGGGCTTTTAAAACATGTGCCTGCCTTCTGCTCACTCATATTTTCAGATATTTCTTGGACATTGGCGGAGTAGAAGGGGTTTATTGCTTTCCGGTCAACAACCATTGACATAAATTGCAATTGCTTCAGTCTAATCAGATAATTTCTTTCAATGCAGATATGCACAAAATAAGCCCCCTTTTCAAACTTGATTTGCTGTGTAGTCTTGCAATGCACCTGAACTGTGTTTTAGCCCCTCAAAATACGTTCAGTATAGAATTTATTTAAAACTGTTCTGCAGAAAAGCAGATGTCAGTTGTGAACTTTTTTTTGGTACCCATTTTGTTTAAATTCTTTCTTCTGACGACTGCAAAGATGATAAGCTTTGTGGCATATCCTGCAAGTAAGCAAATCTGTCTTTCTGCGGGAGGCGTTTTCCAAAGCAAAGGGCCCTTCACAATGCATGCTTTATCGCTGGCTTTCTTTTCCACTGAAGGGCTGCTTTTTTCCTTTTTTTGTTGCTGCACTTCTTAACCAATGAAATGGTTTCATTCTGTCTTTTGACATAATCTAAGCTTATGTGGTGTGTCTTTTGTTCCTCACACACATTAGAGTTGTGGGAAATCTAAAGAAAAGCAGAACCTGTTACAATAGAGGGAATCGTTGGGATCAAATTCTGTTTAGTTCTGTGGCTATTTTTCGTGAAGACTTTTCATCACAGTTAGTTTGAAGATGCTGGAACAGTATCTGATGCTTTTTATTTAGTAACCCTGTCTAATTTGCTTTACTCTGCTGCCTGCTTTGCTCTGCTAAACTACTGAATTGACAACCTAATTTGAAATAATATTTATGAAAGGCCAGGATACATACAATGTGAGAATTCATTGCAAAGATTTTGGTGACAAGAAGCATCTTTGTACAAGTGTACTGGAAAGGTTCATGACAGTTAATTGCTATTTGAACAATGTTTTTTGTTGATGTAAAATTTACCAAAAGGAGTTTACTGCTTAATTGCTAATCCTTTCTTGACTATCTTTTTTCTAAGTAAACAAAAAAAACCCTAAAAGCAAAAAAAGGTGAAAATGCATAGCTTTTGCTTTTAAACATTCCCTTTCATATAAGTTATATGCTGTTACTAATTTTGTAGAGAATTCTGCTTAGGTTATATTTAACCTCTGAAAAGCCTTGCAAAAGGAAGTGTCTGTGGTTGTGATCTGACTTATTATAATGCTAAAATGTGAGATCTCTCTTAATATTTTGTCTGGATTATCTCTGCAGGGGTACTTATATACAGTGCTTTCTCTCAAGAAGCATAGTATTCTGCCATCACTTGTGTATACTTTTACCTTCCGTCTTCAGTATGCTTAAACCTGTGATTCTGTGCTTTTTTTTCTGTATTTCATTGTTCTGACTGAACAAATACTTTGCTTTATCTCCATTCTATGCCTGGCTGATACTTTTCCTTTTCAGGGCTGGCTGTAGAATCCTATGAATTGCATTCTACACAATGTTTTTGTCTCTTGCTAGCAGGAAGAATTAATCTTTTTGTTCGCTGATCACACTACTGACAGCAAGATTGACTTGGGGATTTTTTTTATTGGAGGGTCACTATACGAAGCTTTGAAATGTCCCAAGGTTGTTTGCTATAGGGAAGTGATAAAGATAGCAGAGATGCTAAAGAGTTAGGATGAAGTAATTTGCCTTACTGGCACAAGCTTTTGTGCAGCTTTAGGGTGAAGTAGGGTGTCGAGCTGATCCTGGTTAGAACTGCACAATTTTTGGCTGGTCTAGTTTTAACATCAGTAATTCCTTAACCCAGTTTTTTTCAATTACACAAATCCATGTAATTCCTGTGATCTTCAGAAGAAAAATACCATACATTTGAAAGGTTGGGACTTTAAGCTGATTGTTTACAGCTTTTGCAAATTTTTCAGTTAATGGTTTAGCTGTTGGCTGTTGAAGTTATGTGGTGCTGTATCTTGGGAAACAAAAATGGTGCAAACCAGTATTTTTAAGAGTGGCTGTTGAAAACTAATTTAGTCTGAAATAAGGAAACATTTTCATTCTACACTCCTGTTTTTGTTCTATTTCTGTAAAACTTTTGTTTACTATAGATTAGCTGCAGTGCAATCAATAACTGCTGTCTAAAGCTGTGGAATAAACTATTTGCAATCAAATAATGTGAAATGAGGAATTATTAGGTGCTGTTAATACAAACTGTGTATGCTACATAGTATATTTAATAGACCATAGTGTATGGATGTTTGAATCTATAATTTTACCACTTCCCTACTGATTTCAGAGGTGTATACGAAAATGTGTCACAGCTAAAATAACTGATGAAACCTGCATCTCTTTCAAACAGAAAGGAGCGTCCGATATCTCTGGGCATCTTCCCATTACCTCCAGGAGATGCACTACTTACACCTGAAGCTCAGAGAGAAGCGGGGGAGACGCCTGGGTCAGAGCACTGGAAATTCCATGAGCTGAGCCAGCCACGGTCCCACACAAGTCTGAAGGTGAGCACTCGGTTCGGCTGCCTTGTGTGTTAGGAGAAACTCATAAACAGATTATAGATCCTTGGTGGGGAGAAAAAGCAAGTTGAAGGGGAGGAGGGAAAACCTTTAATCATCTTTGTGTAAGCCAAGTATGTTGCTTACTCAAATGAGCTTTGGAGGAACTTACTGGAAAAAATAGAGTTTAGGTTGCATTTTCCGAGTGAGCGGTAATACTGGCTAGGTCTTGGCTTACAGGAGTGAGGTTTTTTTCTTTCTGACTAAGGACCAGTTCTAAAGGTCAGTCACTTGTTCTTTACACGAGATACGTAACTACATAGTGTAAATGGGTCTATTGGTTTAATATTGTTTTAGAAGGAAAGCTTTGATTACTGCACAGGCAATACTCAACGCAGCCTCTGCCTACTATGAGGCGTATAGTGTAGGTATACTGCAGAGTTGAGAATGAGCTAACTTTCCTAAATTAGCCTGTTATTTCCCTTACGTGTGGCTTGGCTGTAATTCCTGCAATTGTTCTGTGTTCCAACAGTGAGAAGAGGGTGGCATAGAACAAGCTGCAGAAATGGTAAAATGGGGGAGTGGTGTTGGAGTGTGATGAATCTGGCAGTTAGGACTAGGGTGACCAACAACACAACAGGAGGGACCTGCAGGGTGAAGAACTCTCGAATGTGTAAAGCCTCTCTGTGTTTAGGTTGATGAGGTTTTTTGGAAGACTGTGGATGTACTGCTGTTTTTCAAAAAGCATGTAGCTTGAGGGGAATTTCCTCCTAAGTGAACTTAATACCTAGCAGGGAAGAATTAAGAAGCTGTCCAGAAATAATTGGAACCCAGACTGGTTTGTTTTTTTTGCCTAGAGGTCATATGGAGATAATGGGAAGTGTAAGTAATGGTTAATTATAAACATATCAGTGACAACAGGAGTTTGGATCTAAAAATTTGTCACTTAACAAACTCTTGGCTATGACTGTTTTTGGTCCTAAATCTGTCTTATTCTCATTGTCCTATGCCAATTAATACCAATAAATTGACAGACTTTAGGAGAGCTGACTGAAATAAAACTTACAACTAAGTGTAGGTGGAGATGAGGTGTGAAGGGAAGTCTCTGATCCCATCCAGTCCCCTCAGAAAATTACAATGGTTACTGTATATTGTAAAATAGGCTTCTAACTGCTAAAAGAGAATTTACGCAACAGCACAGATGGTAATCTTTCAAACCGAGTCAGAATAAGTTCCTTGGGTCCAAAGCAGCATATTTGGTTCTTAGCTGTGAATGTAAAGTACTTCTGAAGTGAACCTGTTGAATAACAATGTATTGACATCATGACCAGCATTTGAAACTTTTTTTTTCTCTTAATACTTTTATTTCCTCTGAATACTTTTAACATCAAGTACAAGGCACAAGCAAGACTTGGCTGCTTTCAGGCATCTGTTTTCCACTCATGCATGAGCATTTCATTAACAGTCAGTGTTTCCTCTAAAAGTATCACAAAGAGTAGGTGTCAGGGAGAAACCCAGACTGAAAAGGCTGGGTATCCTGTAGCTTGTACAGTAGTGACATTGTTGGGGTATCACTGTAAGACAACATAAAATTATGTACCATTCACTGTCTTCTGCTTTTTTTCTGCAGAGCATTGCAGATGAGCTACTGCTTCAGATTTAATTACCCAGTTTTTTCAACTATTTTTTTTTTTCCAGGAAGTGTCTTTTGGCAACAGTGCCAAAAAGGTCAACGCAGCATTCACTTTCAAATGCTTAGGCTTTGATATTTTGATTAATTAATTGTCACTTAATGGAATTGCATTTAATTTTCATTTAGTTCTAGAACAAACATCCATGACAGTTTAATGAGTATAGTTTCCAAAAGTTAGCTAAAAAAATACAGTAGATAATAAAATCAGAAATGTAAAATAGGTGGGATTATTTGAAATTCCTTTAAGAAAAGGACTGTTCACTGTTCTGTCTTGCACTATCAAGCTGTTTTTCTTGAGCTTTGTGTGTGAAAGTCAGTGATCAGTCTGTGCTGAATCAGTTAGGGGATGCTTTCGGAATACAAAGATGTAGAAATATTTGAACAGAGCCAATGGCTCTGAGGTTTTATTCCCTGTTTGTGTGAACTCCGGATTCCCTTGGTGAGGGCTACCGTTTCCTCCCTTCTGTATCTGCTTGCTGAAGTATGAATCATTGTCCAGCAGCTGAACTTCACCCACTGAAAAAGCAATTGGGTAAATTGTGTAGCCTTTTTCTTTTATGTTTTTTTTTTTTTTTAAAAGAATGTACACAATGTACATCATAGAACACCTTAATGTGTCATGTTTGTTGAATCCTATTACTACGGGTAAGTGTACATATTTTTCTCCTCTAGAGGTGTCTGTTAGTTGATTATTTCTGAATAGTTTTGTTGGAATATCACATAATAATTAGTCATTTTGGAATTTACTACAAAAAGGTTGAAAACTGGAAGTAACTGATAGGCAGGTCTTGAAAGTGCTGAATTCTGGTTTTAAGGCTTGCAAATGCTATGTGGGGATGTAGCTGTGAGATGCAAGATTTTCATTTATGCTGATATAGAGAGTAGAATAGAGTAGAATGTGTGTTTTCCTCCCTGACCCCACACGTTAATATCTTATCTTGTCAGGAAGTTCCAGAAGTAAAAATTGAGAAATTACAATTCTTAATGTTACACTAAGTACAAGTGAGAGGGTCTGTGTCTATATGCAGGTCTGTTTTGTGTTTTAAATAACCTTAAAATTCAGTTTCACTTCCTTCTCAGAAAGGGTTGCTAGCAGTACAATGAACTGATGTTTCACAAAATCTAAACTTGCTTTATTCTTGACAAGTTTTGGTTTCCTGAGCTAAAAGTCGTGTTCCCTTTAAATGCCAGAGACTGATCTAGGACACTTACTTTTACCTCTGATTCCCAAACAAAAGCCTAAAAGAATATTTTTTTTTAATCAAAACTCACTATCCTTTCTTTATTTTATACATACCAGTTTCAGTGTTTTATCTTGATTTTTTTTTTCCAATGCTGTATGCTAGAAAATATTGGCTTACACAGACCAATTTGTTTTCAAATCCGAGAGATCTTGTTCACTGTTATGTTGCTGTTTAAGTCAGTTAAGACATCTAGGTGCTGGTATGACTCTGGTAATGAATGAGGAGTGAAATGGGATTGAAGGGAGATAAAGTCTAGGAAAGGGCTGATAGTATTATCAGGTAGTAGCCTCTAGTTAAATACAGTCTAGCCTGCACTTGAATGATGCAGCCTTGTCTGAGTAATGAGTGTAATCTTGAGTCCAGCAGCTGGATTAATAGCTGTACTTGAGGTTCTTGATAGAGTGTTGCTGTAATGTAAACTGTTGCTAGGAATCAGCCTCACTTACTGATGTTCTGTAGTTGATCTGAAATCTAAGCAGAGAAGCAGTCACTGCAGTTCAGTGTCTCACTCCTAAGGTCTTCCAGGGTTTTGCAGTTGAGACTAGAAAGTGTGTAGAAACAGTGAGTGAAGTGCTTGCAAATACTGTTGGTTTTACCAGTTAAATCCATGTTTTGCATCAGTGCTTCAATGTCTGCTTTTTAAAGAGTTTTTTTTAAGATAATCATGTAATTTTGAACAATTAAAAATTTTCAAATAGCTTTGGAAAGACTGAATTCTTTGTGCAGTTAGAAGAATTACTAATGTGAGAGTACTGCCTATTGTTTTGAAGACTTAACAGAGAAGCATCTTAAAGGTGTGACTATATCAACTGAAATCAAATATTAGTATTAAAAATAAGAGGATATTTTATCTAGCTTCTAGCCTCCACAGAATTGAAACCATAGCTATAGTCTAAAGATTAATTTGGCAGTACTGGCCTAAATGTATTCCTTCTGTTCCTGCTGATGTGCATATTCTTCAGTAAAATACAGTGGGTTTGGTGCTTGTTCTTTAGTTTATATGCCTAACTCTTGTAATGATACTTTAATTTGTGATATAATGGTAATGTTAAATTTTAGGATGAGCTCTCTGATGTTAGCCAAGCAGGCTCAAAATCTACTACGCCAGCATCCACAGCTGCTTCAGATGTACCTGTACTGCCTGCTGAAACTCCTCAAAAGGAAGATGTTGAAGGGCTTGCAAAGGACACAGATATGCCAAATGAGAAGCTGGACGTAAGCAAGAATATTGAAGTACAGGTAGCTCAAGAGACAAGAAATGTGTCTACTGGTGAGCTGCTTTAACTTTTTAGTAATGCTTAGATATGACCTCATACCTAATGTTATGAAATTCCTTTAATGGTTGTGCCACAAACGAGAAATGCTTTTGACTAATTTTTAGGAATACAGCATAATGGTAAGAGATACAGGCCTGTTGTTTATAAGTGGTTTTAGTCCTTATTTTTCTAGAATCAGATGAATTACAACATGTCATTGTAAACAGACGTGGGACTCGTCTAGACAGAGTCACAAGATGAGATAGACCATCTACTTGGAGAAGTAGAAGCAGTGGGCAACAACTACTGTTGGATCACTTAAATTCAGGAGAGACTTGCTTATAAATTCGGGTGTCTGCACTTGACTATCAAAATCCATAAGTCTTCTCATTGAATTGCCTTGATAAATCTTTGAACAGAAGTCTACCAAGTTGATTGATTAGTAACAGCTACATGTAGGAAATGTCATATATCACAGTGATTTTGTTTATGGAGATGAACTGCTTGCTTTTCCCTAGGTGGAAATGAAAATGAAGAAAAATCTGAAGTTCAGGCAATCATTGAGTCAACTCCAGAGTTGGATATGGATAAAGATCTCAGTGGATATAAGGGTTCCAGGTAAGTTGTGTGTTGTGATTTGACTAGGAGGACCAATTTAGAAGGTACCAGACTTCAGTTTTGAGCTCACAACTTGTTTAGAAACTTTACCAGACTGAGGTCATGCAGTATATAAATCTCCTACTTTTGTGACCTTAATTCCCCAAATTCCTCAGCAGGTTTTAAGTGCAACAGCAGTTACTGATGAATTTTCAGGGTACTTCATCTTACAGCAGACTTAAAGCTTAAATAATATTTCCACACTTCAAGCAAAAGATCTGTACCAAGAGTCCTTTTCTCCCTAGATCTGAGTTTCAAGGTACTAGCATTTTCCAAGCTAGACTTTTGTGTTTTTACTTAAATCTTCAAAATCTAGATTTATGAGTGACTTTGCAAGTGTTACATCATTTATTTATCAGAGTCTGATGGTGGAATCCCAGTCTTGGCAGAATGCTTTTGCCTGAGCCTGCTTCCTTGGAGGCTTTTGTTTGTGGAGGATAACATTTCTTTCAAAAGCTCTAAAGCCCCATGAAAAAAAAAGTCGTTTAGTAGCAGGGGGAGTGCCTGCCCTGAACAATTCAGGGTCTAGCCATAAGTCCTTCAAGTATGTTATGTGTCTGTGTGTTTCTTTCTTATGATGAGATTGAAAAAGTTACCTTGTGTAATGAATGTTAGTGGTACAAGATCTTTGTGTGACAGGAGCCCCTTTTCTGGCCAGAGGAATGTTTTGATCTCTGACCATTTGGTTCTCTTGTGTTCTTGTTATATTAAATGGCTTACAGTTTGGCTGACCCTGTCTGTTCTTTAGGGCTGACTAAGTCCTGACAGAGCTGAATTTTTATATGTCAAAACTTGATATGCTTTAATTTATTAAATTCATGGCCAGCTCAGTATCATTAGCTACCTCAAGTCTGGGATCTTGATGCCACGGTAGTATTTGAAAATAGAATCTAGGACTGTAAGCCAACTGAAAGCTGCTAAAAATTTTACTGGTTTTTGGGGGGTAACAAACTACTGGTAAAAACATGGAGAACACTTTCTTCAATGTGGGAATGTTTTCTTTCTGCTTTTTTTGTCTTGTTTTAATTCTTTGAATAGCACTCCTACCAAAGGCATAGAGAACAAAGCATTTGACCGTAATACAGAGTCACTCTTTGAAGAGCTGTCATCTGCTGGATCTGGCCTAATTGGAGATGTGGATGAAGGTGCAGATTTACTGGGTAAGAAAGGTTATTTAAAGAGGAATTTTGCTCGTTAGTGGAGTGCTTAATTATCCTTGCTGGATTTACTGTTAGGATTCATTTGCATTAAAAGCTTTTGAGTATCATCCTAAGGTGGTTATTGGAATGCAAAAACCAGGAGAAAGTGTTTGTTTTTTCTTTCAATATAACGGTATCAGCCTTAATCTTTTGGGGCACTCTTTACACTATTCTCTATTTCAGTTTTCCCTGTATGTTCTCTGACAGAAGGATTTTTATCTTGAGGAAAGATTTTTATCTTGAGCTAGTTTTAGGCAGTTTAATTCAGATGGTGCCCAATCTGTAATGGCCTGGCTTTATCACCTCTCTGTGGAATTTAAGATGTAAGTGAGAATTGCAGCAGAATGCAATGCTGGTAATTTGAGAATCAAACCATTAATTGAAAGGGGAGGGGGAACCCACATTTCTCCCTAAGCAGCTTGCTGCTGCTTGTGTGCTGACTGAACAAAATGTAGGTTTTGGGAATATGAGTTGATCAGGAGCAAAAAGGTCATTAAAAGAAGTATCTTTTTAAACAAGTGTCTTGTCCACAAATAGCTTGTTACAATACATATCCAGTGTTCAGGCCTCATTTTGAAATAATGAAAGCTGGTACTATGGAATGCATAAAATGCAGATGCAACTCCTGTGTGTTTTAGGAATGTGTTGTATATAGAAAATCATCAGTCTGTTTCCTTCTTTCATCTGACCTGGCAGAAATACAGGCTGTTAATGGTATTATTTAGAACTGTTGTGCAATCTGGATTTCTTGTTGTTCAGTGTTCCATCAGAAGCTCATTTTATATCAAGTAGATGACATTTTTACAAAAAAGTATTACTCACTGGGAGTAATGGGCCTATCTCCAGTCTGAGAGATGGCTTTTCTCTGTTGTCACTCTCTGCTGCTTTGAGTCCTGAGCAGTGAGGAGTGCCACATCCTTGCTGGAACATACTTCATCCAAAACTCAGGCACTCAGTTTTCACAGGGACCGCTAACGACACATTCTGCATGCAAAAATATAGATACTGGAGAAGAAATATTAACATATAGCAGCTTCCATCCCTTAGTGAATGGATAAATTGTTTAAAGAAATCAAATTACTGTCAGGACTTCCTGATAATAAATGCTTTGTTTTCCATGGGCAAAAAGAATATATATTTTTAATATAACATGAAAAGTTTCTCACTGACTTCATTACCATTTACCATAAAACTACGTCTAGAAACACTGGTGTATACAAAATGAACACGGTGTTATAACTGCGTTTGTTATGCAGAATGTGTTGGTCTAAAAGTTTTACTATATATTTGTCATTTCACTTTGAGCACAACCATAGTCCAGATTACTCTGTGTTATTTAAAAGTCACATCTACATCCAGGATAGTCAGTGTGTTTCAAGCATTTGGATCTGTTCTAAGTGAGCATTAAACTTTAGTTTGAAGTTCTGTAAAAGTAGTTAATTGGGATTCTCTAATCTGTTTTCTCTTGGGCTGCATACCCAGGGGAATATTCTGGTGTGTATGCTTCTTTTTTAAAAAAAATTCTTTGAAATCTGTTGCTTCTACAGTTAGGCATTCTTGGCTGCTGTTCTCATAAAATACATTCTCTGCATTTTTTCCCTGCTTGGTAACTTTTTTTTGTCTTTGCACTCTGGCTTTCTAGTTTTTGTTCTTGCATTATAAAGGATCCTGAAACCTGTTGGAAGTATGATCCTAGGTACTTTTATCTGTGAATACTGAAAATATTTAAAAATCAATAGCCCCTTGAATAAAACCCCATGATGGCTGTAGCATAGGGGATTTCCCCAGATATTAATAAAGTAACAATAGCTGATCTAAGTTCCTTCACTATTAAATGTCATTTATTTTGATCCAAAACCCAGAAAGAGAAATTCCAAAAGAGGGAACTTTGACTTACATGTCTATTTTTAGATACCTTTTTTTATTGTTCAAATATCTCTCAAGTCTTCTGTTACCAAAGTTGCTTAGAAGACTGTGTTCACAGTATTTTAAAAGGCCTCCTTCATCAAGATACCTTTTAAATTTGTTGTGCTAATCTTTAATTAGCATAAGTTCTGCTATTATCAGTGTGGTAATTATTTTGCTGTGCAAGATGTAAAATAATTATTTTCTGCCTGAAAGTTTATCTCTTTAAAATCCTGCAAATTATGTTATTTTAGGCATGCCAGCAGTAGGGTGAGAAATTAATTTCCAGAAATTTAAATAATAATAATAATAATAATAATAATGTAGCAGTTTCATGAAGACTTAAGTTCACTTTTTTCCAGACTAGCTATAGTAATTTGAAACTTTTACTGAATGGCTTAGCATTTCTTCCAAGTACTGGCTTCTAAATTATTTCACAGAAAATTGAGATAGACTCTTAAGTCACTGATCTTTATAAGAGGTCTAACCAATAAAAATGGTTGTGACAAACATTACTTTTTTATAACATCTGTCTTACGTATAAATCCTGCTTCTAATCGCATCACATTCCACTTCAAATTTTTGGTGGTGGCTTTGTTTTAATACACTCTTACTTCGTAAGTCTAAATCTTTTATTGCTCTTCGCTCATACTACACCTTACATGAAATGTTTCTTGTTCTTGTTTTTGCTCTACATGGAATGCATGGGCTTTAAAGACCATAATTTCTTTGGTAAGGTATCATCTGCTCTGGGGAAATCTGCAGGGCTTTCACTACCTGAGTTTTATAATTCAGCATGTCTTATGTCTATAACTGATACACTTTTGTATCTAACATGGTATAAAAGACAGTTGAGCATTTTATACGTAACTTTGTGGACTAATACTTCTCCAGGAAGGCTATATTTGGTTTTGACTTAGTAGAACTGTAATCTCTTCAAAATATCCAGAGTAGGTGGAGGTAGCACTAGCCACTAGTCTATGGTTAGCCAGGGTTGCCTTTAGGCTTTAATTGAAGTCAGGACTGGGAAGAAGGTGGAGGGGAGAGCTAATTGTAGAAGGTAGGTCAGTCTTGAAACTTCAGATAGCTCACAGTTTTTCTGACAAGTTTGTCGTATTTAAAATTCTAAAAGCTGGTTTCAGACAATGGCAAAACATAGATTTTATAAAAACCATCAATTTTATCTGCTGATTTAATATGTGTGTTTCCTTTGGAAAGGAATGGGTCGTGAGGTTGAAAACCTTATTTTGGAAAACACTCAGCTGTTGGAGACAAAGTAAGTGAAAATGTGTATGTAAAAAACACTGACCTTCTCTATTTTGTTATATTCTCTATATCTTCATACACAGAAAGCTGAAATTATACAAACAGTATTTCAGTTAGAAGCTTTCAGTTCTAAGAGTAGTGGTGGTATAAGTATTTTGAATTTGTATATATATTTGGCTAAATATATAGCATAGTTGGTATTCTAGAAATTAAGGAGCTAAGAAGCAAAAGCTGCTTCTATCCTTGTAAGGCTACAAGAAATGGAGGGCTGTGTTCTAATGAGATCAGCTCCCTGCTGTTAGAGCACAGCTGTAACTGCATTGGAGCACTGTTGAGGAGTTCAACCTCTAAGCAAACTGGAGTTACCAGTACTTTTTTCTAATACAGAGGTGTGAATGTGTTTGAGGATTTGAGATTTGGGGGAAGAGGGTTTGACCTGTTTTAGAAAGTTGTTACAGCAACTCTGCATAAGAAATTTGTAGGTCTTCAAATTCAAGAATGAAATCGGGCTGAAGCTAAACTATGAGACCATAGTCATCCTTGTAACGTTGTATTTTAAATGTTTGTGTAGAAATGCACTGAACGTAGTGAAGAATGATTTGATAGCAAAGGTGGATGAATTGACCTGTGAGAAGGATGTACTACAAGGTGAATTGGAGGCTGTAAAACAAGCAAAACAAAAGCTTGAAGAGAAGAATAAGGAACTGGAGGAAGAGCTGAAAAAGTAAGTTTAATTCCATAGTTGTGAAAAAGAAGGAAAAAACGCCACTGTGGTATCTAATGTGGCTGTTTTTTATTTTGTATCTAGAGCTCGTGCAGAAGCAGAGGAAGCAAGACAAAAAGCTAAAGAGGATGATGACGTAGGTGTATATGTATTTTTGTATGTATAATTCACAATGGCACATAAGTTCGTGTGTGTTTAGTGAGTGCTACTAAACTTCACTGCTTAATAAGTAGTGGTAAACTTCCTCTGTATAGAAATGATCAGAGATCTAAAGAGCACAAGTAACTTTAAACTGACCATGTCTACTTTTCTTTTTCCTCTCTGCCCATTATTGTGTGTCACGTTGTTTTTGAAGAACTGTTTTTTATTCGGATTATACTGTGTATGAAGGATAGGAGGAGAGGAAGGTAACATTGAGTTAGTTTTACAAAGCCTCAGATGATTTGGAATCTGGAGTTGTGCCGTAAACTGACTCTTACCGGAAGGCAGAGGCTGACTCTGCAAGGCCCTACTGTGCTCCTTTGTTCGTCCTATGTTTGCTTTTTTGTCTGTTCAGAGTGATGTCCCCACCGCTCAGCGGAAGCGTTTTACTCGTGTTGAAATGGCCCGTGTTCTGATGGAAAGAAATCAGTATAAAGAGAGGTTGATGGAGCTTCAGGAAGCTGTCCGATGGACTGAGATGATAAGGTAAAAGGCTCTTAAAATCTCTGATAGAGCTCCTTAGATTTTTACAAGCTTGATTTTTAGCTGCAGCGTGATCTGGTCAATAGGTCAGGGTATGAAGCTTTAACTGTCCTTCTGCTTGTCTTGCTACATGCCCACGAGTAACTTTGTTTTTAAATTCTGGACACAAGTTATCAAAATGGGTTCTCAGTGAGACCTCAGTAGAGATGTGTTACTTTATATGATGCAAAATAAACATCCCTTGAAACAATGTGTGTGTTCTGGACCAGTTACAAAACTTGGTGATTGTAAATAACATTCATTTGGTGGGCAGGAAAAATTCCTGTGGGTATGTGCACACATACCTTAAAGCAGTGGGCCCAGTTGCCAGCTGAGATGTCAAAGCAAGAATAACACACTGTCTTCAGATTGCATGCAGGGCATGTGTAAGGACTTGAGCTGTTCAGGGGAAAGCAGTTTTAAAACTGCAAGGTTTGTTACATATAAGCAGTAAAGATGGAGATCTGGTCTAATTTGCATCCTGAATATTGAGTTGTCTGGAAGATATGACTTTAAAAACAAGTCTTCTGCCTCGGACCTTAGCCCTGCTCGTTGTCACATCCCCCGAGCCGTGGCATGTCCAGAGGAAACAGCATCATTTGGTGCCGCCTGCTGGTCAGGTATAACAGTGGCGTTTAATTTTTTCTGTTGTCCTCAATCCCTGTGAGCCATTGCAACCCTGAGCCTGTGAGAGGAGTACAGTACTGCCAGGCAGACATGGCTTGCTTTCCTATAGCTATTGTCTCCTATAGCAATCCTCTCCTATCTCTGTTAATGCATTTATGGCTTCAAGAAAAATCACTTCATCATTTATTTACTGATGTGTTGAAGAACAACATGTTTTAAAATAAAAACAAATGGTTAAAATATTAAAAAAATAGGAGGCAGAAGAGTTTAAAATAGTTTGCTGCTTTGTTCTAGCTGTTTTCATTGCAAAGTGTTATACAGATTTGTCTCTTCTGTCTGAAAAGCACTCACCAGTTGTGTTTGTGATGCAAATAAATGTGGATGATGTTTATTATGTAACTTCAGCTCATCTAGTGAGAATGTCAATACTGTGCTCTGATCAGAAAAGAAGTGGCAATGCAAAGAAACAGGCTTTGATACTTTCGATATGTTATCCTGTTTTTTTTAAATGAGTTACACACTGTTCCGTTCGTTTTCTTAATTAATGCTTACTCAGTAAACTTGGAACTCATTTCTTGTAGAGCATCAAGAGAAAATCCAGCCATGCAAGAAAAGAAGAGATCAAGCATTTGGCAGTTGTAAGTATTGAAACACAACTCACTGGCACAAATAAATTAAAAGACCCTAACCAATTAGCTGGCACATTTTTGTATGTTAGCTAATTATCTTTTGGCAGATGAAGATGTCTTAACTGTTCTCCTCTTGTTACCTAGCATGCCAGCTCGGTAAGACTGTTCTTGAAGACAAAATGTATCGTAAGCTGCATCACGTAGTGAATGGCTGTGCACTTTGTGAAGTTAAATGCCAAAGTGCTGTAATTTTTTTCTAGCTGAATATGCACTAGGACTTTTGTTCTGAACATTTTTCTGGATTCTTTTTTATGATGAAAAATAGAAACCCAAATAGCTCGTGTGGATTGCTTTTATTTCAGCTTCCTTTTCCTGTATGAAGTACGGCTTACTGATTGTTAAATTTTTCCTTTCTAACTTTAAGCTCTTTAAATCTAAAACAGTGTTATTCACAAGAAGATATTTGTCAGATAATCCTTTTGAAATTGTGGCTTGCTGATAACTATATCTTCTAGCCTAAAAAGTGGTGGGGGTTTTAAAGTGCTCTGTGCATGAACTAATATGCCTCAAAGCTGTCTTCCAAGTGTGGTGTTCACATTGTAATTTTTTGGTTCTCTGTAGATGTTCATTCAAGATAAAGATCCCATTAAATTTGAGAAACGGGATAATCCTTTGAGAATTTTTCTTACATGAGTTTCTGTGCTTTGGGAGTGTTGCTGAGTGTGGTGGCTGCTATTGGGCTCCAGTTTTAGTCTAACTAGCTTGAGCAGACTAGCATATGCAGTGTTTTGCCTGCATATTCAAATTTGGATGTATCTTACAGATCTTAACTCTCATCTTTTTTTTTTTTTCTTCTAGTTTTAGCAGGCTCTTCAGTTCATCTAGCAACACAGCAAAGAAACCAGAACCTCCTGTCAATGTTAAATATAATGCTCCAACCTCGCATATTACTCCATCCGTCAAGAAAAGAAGCAGCACCTTATCTCAATTACCAAGTGACAAATCTAAAGCCTTTGAATTCCTCAGTGAAGAGTAAGACATTTTGGTTTTATAATACTAGATATGCTCTATCAAGTATTTACTCTTTTAATCCTCTGGGATAAATAGCATGCTGCTAAGTGAAGTATAATGTTCTCCTGAAGTGAATGTTGATACATAAAGAAAATCAACACAATGCAGACTGAAATTCACAGCAGTGGATGAGTACTCTGGGTACCTGGCAGTAGTATTGTATTTGGTAAATATCCCTGCCTTTCATAAAATTTAGGCACAGGAGGCAGCACTTGGTACGTTTTTATTTGCAAGTCTTGTAGCTAAGCAGTAACTGTACAGATACTTTCACTTTTAAGTTCACTGGAAAAATAGAACCCCATGAGTCAGGCTAACAAGTATCTGTAATTACATATTTTATTCTCTTGTGCTCCTTTCTGGCAATATATCCTTTTTGTTTACAACTTTTAAAGCTTCTGTCAGAGGTACGTAGAACCCAACTTAATTTTTCATGGCACCGACAACAGACTTCTTGATTTTACCTGTTTTTCTCAGGTCCCTTAGAAATAGCCAACAGGAAACCTGTTGTGATATGTGAAAAACTAGTGATCTTCACAGAGATCTTGTCTATTGAGTTTAATAGCAATTCCCATTACACAAAGAATTCTAAAGAGCCTAAATAACAGGTTCTTTAATGATGACTCTTCCCTAGAACTGAAGCCAGTTTAGCCTCACGCAGAGAGCAGAAGAGGGAGCAGTATCGCCAAGTGAAAGCACACGTTCAGAAAGAGGATGGTAGAGTGCAAGCATTTGGCTGGAGTCTACCTCAGAAGTACAAACAGGTATTACGCATGTTTTCAAATGTAGTGGTAACAACTTCATGTTTTGTGGAAATTGAACACAGTATAATTTCCCAGCTTGTGTTTGAGTGATTCCAGCTTTTTCTTTAACTTTATCAGTTAAGAGTCTTTCTAAGGAAAAATACCAAACTCTTAGTCATGTTTAACAAAGTCTGATCAGCTGATTTCAAAGACTGTAAACCTCTCTTACAGGAGAAAGCTTTTCTGTTGGTTTTTATTTTTGCCTAGGTGGCAAATGGTGGCCAGGGTGAGAATAAGATGAAGAACTTACCTGTACCTGTTTACCTGAGACCTTTAGATGAGAAGGATACCTCTATGAAGGTAGGATATTTACAGTGATGATAGAAACATGGACAATGTATGGCTCAAATATTTCTATTTTAGACTCAAATATTTTCTTTTTGAAATAAAGTTGTTTCTTTTTAAAGCATAGGTGAATCAGAATTTAGACTTCAGCAGAAATGTACATGACTTATTTTAATGAATTCTTTAAAATGTACTGCAGATACATAATAATTCTGATATTACTTAGCATATTTAACAACAGGTGTGTCTTTTTTTTTTAGTTTAACATTTAAGTGAAGTATTTATTTTTCTTTCAAGCTGTGGTGTGCTGTAGGGGTGAACCTATCAGGAGGGAAAACACGAGATGGTGGGTCTGTGGTTGGTGCTAGTGTATTCTACAACGATGTCACTGGTGTGGACGCAGATGGCAACAAGCAGCAAACAGGATCTCAAAGTAGCTTAGATAGACTAGACCAAGAGCTTAAGGTAAGGTCACTGTAAGGCATGTTGAGTAGTTCATAAAGTTAAACATTTTTACCGTATATCTGTAGATTAATAAATTGTTTGTACTCAGGTTTATTGGTAACGAATAGATTTTATTTTTTTTCCTTGGGTAGTTATCAACCCACGATATTTGGGTTATTGAATCTAACTACAAAAACATTGTGGTTCTTGCCTGTATGCCAGCTTGTTGACAAATCTGAGGAGCAAATCAATTTTACATCAAGATGATGCACTGCTTATACCAGTGCTGCCTGCTTTAAAAAACATTTGTGACAGAATTGTTCATGTTCTGACTGCCATTTAGAAAAAGTTTTAGGTGTCTGTGCCATTGTTTAAACACATGTTTGTCCTCATGTTTTCATGAAGGAGGAATGAATGGAATTCATATTAGGGCATTAAAAAAAAGGCTTATTTTTAAAGTGCTTTGGGACATCAAATCAATCTGTGGCAATACTGATTATGGCAGCTGGCATGTAAATAGTGTTCTTATGTAGCTTTATACTTGTCTAACTGTGTATAGTATATAACTATATATATTAACTGTTCAGCATAATTATTTTCTATCATTTTCTACACAAGTATGGAATACAAGGCAGTTTTACATTCCAAATATGTAGAGAACAAGTAACTAAATCTAATTTTATAATGGCATTAAAGATATTTAGCTTACTACATTTACATATATTTCTGTCACTGACAGTGTGAGAAGATACAAGATAAAAGGTAACAGTTCTATTCTTGTTCCCCTTCCTGTTGTTGACTTCTGCCTTTATTCTCCTTCAGGACCAGCAGAAGGAGCTGAAACATCAGGAAGAATTATCCAGTCTAGTTTGGATCTGTACTAGCACACATTCTGCTACGAAAGTTATCATTATTGATGCTAATCAACCAGGAAATATTCTGGACAGTTTCATTGTTTGCAATTCTCATGTGCTTTGTATCGCTAGTGTACCAGGTAAGGACTTGCAATGTTTTTGCTCCTGCTTTTTAACTGTATTTTATTCAGATCCTCAAAAGCAATGAAAAAACAAAGATTTGTTAATTAGTGTGATAAAATGTTACTGTTATACAGCCAAAAAGTGCTGTAGGGAAAACTACTGGTTTTCTACTCTACTGTTCCACTCTTCAGTTGGCTCCTGCCCTCAGTTAACTCAAAGGTAGAGACATGTCAGAAATCAAGACTAAGTTTTTTGTCTGCTGTATTATAAATTGTTCAATAGTGCCAATGTTTTTTGAAACTATAAACATCACAGAATAAAAATGTTGGCTTTTTAGACATCTTCAGCTTCTTGAAGATAAGTAGCAAGTCTTGGAGCTTCCTGTAGGGGGAATCCTTGTTACTTTGAGACTGTATGGAGATAGTGTACTGAGGTGTAATATGAGGGTATTATGATTCTGGAGCAAAACTAATTGTGCTTTTGGGTTTCTTGGCTTACACTTCCAGAGGTCTGCAGTACTAGTTCCAGCGAAGCAGTTTTGTTTAATAAGCTCAGAAGAAACCTCTTTCCAGTGAAGTTTGAGGTTTTGCTCCATTGAAACTGTAACTTGTAAAATCAAAACATCAGAAAATATAGTAAAATATGAAAAAATTTCAAGAAGCCAAGAAAAATATTTTAAGTCTTAAAACTATTTGAGGTTATGCAAGAGAAAACCAGCTTTTCTTCCAGAACAAAGGACCTATTGCCATTAAATTCTTCATAAAGATGTAGATTGGTATCCCTGCGTATATGCACTGTTACAAATTTTAATGGAAAATTTATTTGAAATAGAAATAAGCTAGTTGGAAAAACCTGCAGATTGAAATATGACATATGACATGCAGATGTGCAGCATGTGTTGATACTTCTGCTTTTTGAGCTCTGTGACAGCATCTTTAATGTCTGCTGATCGTGTTAAAATAAGCATGTTGAATCTCAGTTAGCAAGATGCTTTGGCTTACATATCAAGAATACTTTCAGTTTGAAGCTTAGTTACCAGATGGAAAAGTGACTCACCTTGATCCACACAAGAAACATGTGAGTTTAATTGCTTTCAGGGGCAAGGGAAACAGACTATCCTGCAGGAGAAGAAGGGTCTCAAGAAGCAGACCCCAGTCAAGTGGACAAGTCCTCTCTGTGTGGAAGCATGACTAGCAACAGCTCTGCAGAAACAGACAGCTTGCTAGGAGGAATAACAGTGGTTGGCTGCACTGCGGAGGGTATCACAGGGGCACCCGTAGCTCATGATGCAAACGGTGGCTCACCCATGACAGATAAACAGTCAGGTAGGAAAATCATACAAGTATGCCAGGGATAGCCAAACACCATGAGGTATAGCTGAGAAATGAATGTGTTCAATGCAATAGCTTGTCTGTGGGAAGTGGACCGTCAGTCTGACATATTAACACTGTATAATTGTAGCTGAAAACTTTGTGGAGATGATATTAAATGGGTATAGACAATTGCTTCTTTCAAATATTTTTGAGAACACTATCTTGTGCATGATCTGAAGAGAGCTTTTAAGTTATTCAGTACTTGAAATGTAGATCTTGACAGTGAATGGAGAGAATGTGGATATATGCCTCAAATCTTGTAAAGTCTTACTAAAGGTTTAAGTGAAGCTGCTTGCTTTATAGGCATACTTAATATTTTCTGTCATCTGCCCTTCAGAGCTGTTTGATATGATTAATGGATATGTGGTGGTTGGACTTGTTCACTGCTACTCTGGTTCATCATTTAAAGGGCAATCAGTGCCATCAGTCACTGACTTGATACTTGAAATGCATTTGACACTTGTTGATACAGTGCAACCTACTAAAATTTGGGTGTTTCTGATTTTGGTTTTAGATTAAATATAAAATCTGGATTGTGAGTGATTATTATAGTTGTTCACTTAAGTATCAACCTCTGGCTGTTTTAAGTAATTAAGAATTCTCTTGTGGTTAAGTTTTTTTAAAAATTTTTTGTTTCATAGATATTGCAACTGAAAGTAATTCAGTAGATGAGAACATTCCAACAGCAGAGGAGGCAACAGAAGCTACAGAAGTCAATGCAGGGACAGGAGAAGACACTGCTGATATTGCACAAACTGGAGTCTACACAGAGCACGTCTTTACAGATCCTCTGGGAGTGCAGAATACAACAGAGGCATCTCCAGTGTACCAGCCTAGGTACAGAGTCTCAATCCTCATACCTCTTAAAATGTATTTAAAAAGAAAATATAATGTGTGGGAACACAATATGGGGAAGAAACAACTAATTTTTTTCCTGTTAAGTGTGTTGAGGTTTATATAAGTAGTCTTAGTACAAGACACTCTGTGCTTTGCTTGCATTAAAGGGTCACCTGTGTACAAAGTCTTTTGTCCGTGCACTGCTATCACTTGAGTACAGACACCTCCTGAATGGAGTAGTGAGTGTCTATCAGTTTGTCACGAAGTCTTCTCCCAGACTTAATGTGAATGGTGCTGATCTAGGGAGGCCTGTTTAAATTCCCTGTTTTGATGTCAAAATAAGTAAGAATGACATTCCTTTCTTCCAGTCAACTGGTTGTTCAAATGTATGTTTCTTTTCTCAGAATAGTCAATCTGTGAGTGGTTACAGGAGTGGAGAAGAAGCTTGAAAGTAATCAGTATTTTATATCTTCAGGAATCTTCATTCTCCACACACAAGTGCAAAAGTATCATACAGGTTTTTAAAAAGTGTTTCTTTTAACACGTGCCCCTAATGTTGTGACTCTTTTCTGCCATTCCCCAGAGAGATCAGCAGTACTTCCAGGCTTGAATGGAACCTAAATTTCCTTCTATAAGTAAATGTCCACTTGCAGAAATTGTTATTGTGGTTTTCATATGTATCGTTGTACTTTCATGCACTATTACTGTTTTTTTAATACCTTATATACTTCAAAAGCCAGGGTAGAAACTAGGAGCAATGGTAAATGTCTAGGCTGTAATATGTGCACTTTATTCAATGTATTTTAACTGTTTTTTTCTTTAGTACTGAGTCAGAGTTATATAAAGATGTTGCAGTTTTGCCAAATGAGCAAGATCTAGTGAGAGAAGAAGCACAGAAAATGAGTAGCCTTTTACCGACAATGTGGCTTGGAGCACAGAATGGATGGTAAGAAAATTATGATCTTGTTAAATTTATTTGGAAAAATTATTTTAAATTTGTTTCTTGTGCCTACAGGCCTGGCAACTGTCTCAAGCCAAGACTAAGTGCAAGAAGACCTCAAGAGAGCCTGAACTTTGTATGCTTTCTACATTTAGGTGTTAGAAAACTCAAAGTATTGTAGGTGATTAGCAAGCTCTTTTAGGTGGATAATGCTTTTATCTGCGGATTTGGTTGGGTTCTTTTGTAGAGAAAGAAGTTGTTATGGTCTAATTCCATACCTTTCAATAGTTTATGCTAGCAAAATATATTGCCTTTTTTACTGCAGATGTATCAGCAAAGGAGTTGGTAGTGTTAGTCCTCTGAAAAACCATTCTGCTGCTTATGTAGTTCTTACAGTCTATATGTAGTTTTCAGTGGAAGATAAAACCTTTTTTTCCCTTTGATTATGGATTTCAGTTATAGGGGTTTTGCTTGGGTTTTTTCCTGTCTGGTAGACCTTTCCCAGTGCTTTTAATCCCTCCTGATTTGTCTTTGCAGCCTGTATGTTCATTCGTCAGTGGCCCAGTGGAGGAAATGTGTTCATGCCATTAAACTTAAAGATTCTATTCTCAGTATTGTGTAAGTCCTGAAAGAATATCATGTAAATCATAATGAACTTTTGTTAAAATACTTGCAAAGTAGTTTTATATTTCCTCCTCAGATATTGGGAATATCAGTTGCCATAAATGCATGCATATTCTTTGAGGGGCAGTGGAAAACATTTGGGGAGTAAGGAAAATAAAAAGAATCTTGTATGCGCAGGAAATACTGTAGCTCAAATGATGAGCTGGAGCTGTATACTTGGTATTCTTGGGAGCTGTATGCACGAAACAGTTATAGCTTGTTATCCTTGATGTTTTCTTCAGGCATTGTCGCTAGATATATTTTAAGCTTTCTGAACTGGATTTTGATGCCTTGTTACTGTCCCTTCTCTTGAGCTACGTTGTAGAAATCAAAACAGTAGGGCTACTGTGAATATCAAAAGTATGCTGAGATATAAAATGTTTATACCTTATTTTAAACTTGCAGTTTGAGAAAGACAGTCTAATTGTGTGTGTTCTTCTGCTTCCTTTTTTTTTTTTTCCCCCCTCAGACATGTAAAAGGAATAGTATTAGTTGCACTAGCTGATGGAACACTAGCAATATTTCACCGAGGAGTTGGTAAGCGTTCTATTAAATCTTGAAACCAATGAAGTTGCAACAGTATTTAGGAAAGAAATAAATAGTGCTTTGAAAATGTATTCCCCAGTGGCTTTTTTTACAGGTTGTCTGGAGAAATCTTTCTAGGATTTCAGCTGCAGTTTGAAGTACCCTTTTTGCACTGTCATAGTGTGTTACTGGAATTTTTTCTTACTCTGAGGAGGAGGATGGGCTGTATCTGAGCTAAATAGCAAAAAACCAGTTGATAAAGTCCGCATTGGTCATAATCTCTTCTGCTTTTTCAGCATGCTCAATAGCCATGTCTTCTGTTTTATTAGTGTTAATAATTGTATGTGACCAAGTCCTTCAGTGAGAGTTTTGTAAACATCCCTTCAGATTTTCTGCCCAAACCACTTCTGGACAAGCTCCATTCTTCAGCCTCCAGAATAAAGAACTGGAGAGGAAGGTCTTACTATGAGTAACTGGAACTTCTCTGTTGGCTTGTTTCCATGGACTCCCTGTTGATTATTTATTTTCCTAGTGGAATTTACACGCTTGTGCTCAGAATGTAGAAGAATTGCATGACAGTAATGCAAATATTGGGAAAGATGCATCGGAGATGAAGTTATGTTTTTAGTGTTTTGGTGTTTTTTTTAAATTCAAACTCGACTGGCTTACAATCCTTAAGGATCTCAAATATCAGTGATCTGTGGCTTAGCTCAGTCTATGGAAGAATTTTACTTGGTGTTGAATGACCACATTTAGTATGCTTTTAGTAGATTTCAGGTGCCTTTCTTAAGAACTTGCAGCATACTTTAAAAAAAAAATAAAATCTTGATGTACTGGGCAACATTTCTGTTAGTCAAGCAGCAAGTGCCGAGCACTGTGTGGGTAGTTGCTTGTAATGCATGCTGATGCCTATCCAAGTAAAGCATTTAGCACTAGGTAACTTGCTGTCTTTAAAAATGCTTTTATGTGTTTAGAACGTGAGTCACTGTACAATCTTATTAAATTATAAACAAAGCTTTTGGGGTGTTAGTAGTTTATGTAAGTAGTTGCTGGGGTTTTTAACGAGGAACTTAACCATAAGTTTGTATTGACATATCTAGATTATTACAGTGCTTTTAAAAAAATTAGACTCTTAAGATATTTGCCTGTACTTTGACATTATTTTTAAACTCAAGGAACTTTTTTCTTTTCCTTCTGTTTTTAAAGATGGTCAATGGGATTTGACAAACTATCACCTCTTAGACCTGGGCCGGCCACATCATTCGATAAGATGCATGACAGTGGTACATGACAAAGTCTGGTGTGGCTACAGGAACAAAATCTATGTTGTTCAACCAAAGGCCATGAAAATAGAGGCAAGTTAAAATGGTGTTTAAAATAATTATATGTTATATTTTAATGCCATCTCGTGCTACAGCTCAAACTCCAAAGTAACTCCAGAGAATAGTTATTTATTCATCAGTACAGAAACAAGCAACCAACCAGACTTGTCTTGGGAAATACTACTACCTTTTCTTAAGATGTTTTCATTGTTTTGGAGGATTTTAAGCCATAATGAGACAGTTCTCATTTATTGAAACCAATTTTTTGGGGGTGTTAGTTATCCACTTTTAGCTTGTGCAGAGCTTGTAAGGCTAGCTCCCAGCTTTTTCTCTATGTGCATGCCTCAGTATGTTCTCCACCCACCTGTAACCTTCTCTGTAATCTGTCTTTGCATACTTTAGAGGTTTGTAAGTGTTAATCTTGAGTGTACTCTCCCTCCAGTTGCAGAATAGTTTGTTTATATAAGGTGTGTGAACTGGTGTTTCTACAGTGTTGTATGTGTACATGGTACACGTACATGCCAGGGGCATCACAAGTACAGCAAGTGGCTGAGGTTTCTGAAAGCCATTAGCAGTATTAATACTTCAGCTTCTGCTAATTGGTCTGAGACATGGGCCAGACCTTTTGAGGGTGACTGCTCAGCTTTTCTGTAACTATCAAGCAATTAAAAATAATCTGGATTTGTGAAGAAGACTATACTTCATTTCAGTTTTCCCATATTTATATATATATATGAAGGAATACATGAAATGAAGGAATTCACACAGCTGTGAGGTTAATTATTTTGCTGGTGGCTGGTGTCTATTTTGCATGAGTGGGTTTGTGTGCAAGAGCAAGGCTTGACAGAACTAGGAACAAAACCACTTTGGGGGTATCTGTATCTTGTGCTGTGGCAGGAGGACCTCATACCAAAAAGGCTCCAGGTTAAATGGAGAGGGAAGCCAGAGCAGACTGGGATATGGTATGTAAATAAAGACACATTAGGAAACTCTGGCTTTGAAATCATGCTTCAGGGAAGGGAATTGGCATTTTTACTATTACTTTATCAGCATCATATGGTAACTGTAACTAAGCTAAACGAGGTATCTTCAAGTCATCTTGCAAATTGAAGGGTCATAGATGACTTAAGAAAATTGCCAGTATAAGAGTAAGAGAAATCCTTACTTTCCTTTGTTTCAACGCCTAATTTAAAGTCCAATCTTTCACAGAAGTCATTTGATGCACACCCAAGAAGAGAAAGCCAAGTGAGACAGCTGGCCTGGGTGGGTGATGGGGTATGGGTGTCTATTCGTTTGGACTCCACCCTGCGTCTCTATCACGCGCACACGTATCAGCATCTACAAGATGTGGACATTGAACCTTATGTAAGCAAAATGCTAGGTAAGTTGATAAAAAGAACTTGTGTATTCTTACACCTTTTGCTGTCTGGAGCTTTCTTTTCCTCTTTTGGATCAGGCAATTCTCACTACAAACTAGGGGGAAAGGTGGGTGGAAGGCTCTCAAATCCTGTTGATGAAAACATGAATCTGGAAGTAGTTAGTCCATAAAGCACGATGAGGATGGTAGGTCTTCTGATGCAGTCTGTTGATCCTACCTGATGTCTGAGGTGTCCCTAAAAACTCAGAGCCAATGAGGAATGCAGTGCTTGGGTTGTGCAGGCATCAATTAAGACACTAAAATCTCTCTTACTGTACTGATGATTTTTTTAAAATCTTAAGAGTGGGAAGAATCCATTATTTGCCTGGAAAAATTGCCTCTTTTTCAAGAAGACACAAATGCAAAATAGCAGTTTTTTATTGCTGTTGAAGCTAATAAGCTTTCTGATTTTTTTTTTTATTAATGTTTATGTAAGAGCAGTTTGACCACCTACGTAACACAACAAATACTGGTAATTGGACCGTGGAAAATCCTTCACAAGTAACTACTGTGTCATTGTGCTTAGCTGGTCAGCCTTCTTCTGCTTCCCCATTGTGAAAATAGATGAGAACTTAATTTTAATCGATGAGAAACTATTCTCTTACATCTGTAAATTCACTTTTTTGTTTGAAAAGCTGCTCTGGTCCTGTAAGCCCCAAAGGATTTTACTGTGCAGCATTACATAGCCTTTATACCTTTCATGCTTTCTCACAGTTAATGTTAGTCTCTTTCTGTATAGGTCCACAACTTAATTAACAGTGTTTTAGCCTTTTAGGTTACCTTACAGCTTAAATGTGCTCCTCTACCTTGTTTCTGTTTGAAGTGGGAGGGAATTACTTGTCTGCGTGGTTTGGGAGTTGAAGTTAAGATTCTCTGTTATGGAACTAAAATTATTCTTGCTCATAATTTTTGATGAAAAGCATCTTTTGTTTTTAGGTACTGGTAAACTGGGATTCTCATTTGTGAGAATCACAGCTCTTATGGTGTCTTGTAATCGTTTATGGGTAGGAACAGGAAATGGTGTCATCATCTCCATTCCATTAACAGAAAGTAAGTAAAATATAAATGAATAGCACTGTGCAATATGCTGTAGCCACAAAAAAAAAAATATTAAACGCCGTTCAGATGCTTGCTAATGGATAGAAAGCTTTGCTGCCAGGTCTGAATCTTTCAGGTTTGTAACAGATTGGGCCTGTGTGATGTACATGGCTACATTTACTCTGAGCAAAAAAGCCCATCTCTAAAATCTCCTGTACTTCAGCTTGAGCAGAGTTGTTGTTGCTTGAATGAAAGAGGCACTTTAAAGCCTTAGAGGTGTTATGAGCATTAGCAGCATTTATAGAAGTTTATTGCTTGTAAGAGATGGCTTTAGTTTTTAAATTAATGTTATTTTTGATTGCCGTATGATCACCAAAGTAGATTTTCGTTTGATTTGAGCAAGTTGGTATTATTGTTGGTACAATTTGATTTGCTTTAGTTCTTGAGAATTCATCACAAAGCTGGTATAAAGGACTGGAACAGCAGTACTTGACTGCTTTAAAGGATGTGTTCAAAGTTATAGGAGTTGTAAGCACATTCCTCAAATAGGGCACTAACTTCTAGGTAAAATTCCAATAATGTAAATCCAGGTATCTGCTTAATAACAGAACCCAAAGCCTTGTCGTAGGCTGAGACTACTTGAGGGTGGGAGAGGAAGCATTCAGACACGAGTGGTTGAATCTCGGGAGAAGGAAATAGTCCAGTTCAAGGGTAAACCAAATCTTAAATAGATAAAACTCAAGAAGAATCTATGTGTAAGTTGATTGCATTTAAAACTAAAAAAACATCAGTACCTGACACTAACATTAAAACACATGGACAAAAGTTTCAGGAAATAAAATGCAGAACTTTGATAATTCTAGTTATACCGTTGTTATATAGAAAGTAGTACAGTCTGACAGGTGAAATGTTAGGGTAATTTAATAGTAAAGTCTCTTCATGTTGTATCTGCTTTGTTGAACAGCACATACATGCATCGTTTCTCATACTGTTCCATTACATTGTCCATCCATTCAGTAAATGTCTTTTTTTGCATTGCATGAGTGTATTAAGGAAGGACCGGCTTCCTATCATGAATTTTGAAATAGTTTAAATCATGCTTACAAAAATTATAGCTCTTAATTTGCATCAAGCTTAATTTAATGTTTCCAGAGGAGTTTGTTTTAAAACAGAAGTGAATGTGAAAAAAACCCTATTAAAGCTATTCAGTTTAATTTCAGTTTTGTTAATTGTTCATGAATCAGAACAACTGTTTGTTAGAAGCCTAATATTGGGTTTGAGAACCCTTGTTACAAATATTCATGGTTTTCAAAAACAGTTGCATCCTTGCATAAGCAGTTGTGTATCTCAGTTCCCTGGGTCTCAGTAGCAGGGCATCTTCCAGATCTTCAGATGATATTTCGAAAGGGCACTTGAAAACATGAGTTGTTATATATTATTTTGGAAGCCTCCTGCCAAGGAAAGAGAGAAAGGGGAAACGTCGCTAATCAATAATGAACTTTATAGCGATAAAGCACGTGGAAGTGGCAGTGCTTTTGTTGTCCATTTTGTACTGAAACTTTTATAACAAGATGCTGTTCTTTATGACTTTTATTGAATCTTCTGTAATGAGATATTTACTGTTTTTAGGAGCTAAAATTTTAAGCTCTACCTTATCAAAAACCAAAATATGAGTGGTGGGTTCTCATTAATCCTTCTCCTCTACTGTCATACCTATCCATTTCCCCTTTCCTCCTTTCTCACTTTAGCTGTAATCCTCCACCAGGGACGTTTACTGGGGCTGAGGGGTAAGTGCAGATCCTGAACAAAAATCTATTTTCAGGCTTCTAATAGCCACTTCGAGGCTGTTTTCCACTCCTTATAGATTTACCCTCTGTATGTTCCTAAATGTTTTTCCACTTGCAGTTACTGCATTGCAGCAGTTTTATGTTTGCTAAATGGCCACCAATCTGCTCAGCAGTTTAGTATATCATCCTGTGTTGCAGCTGAACTTTCATACAGACTTTGTTTTTCTTCCAGCCAGTGTGATACCATATCTTATAACTTTGTCATTAATCCACATCATTTACTGTCTTGTTACAAATCACTGTTTCTTTCACTACTTTGATAGTCTTTGGAATGGAGATGGCTTGTATGTCTAGCATGAGTACTTCACTGTTTTAATGGATTTTAAAACTTCCCAGTAAAAACTAGATGTAGAATTATAATAGGGTAGCTCCTTCATGCCCACAGGTGGCTATTTTTAGAGAATTTTTGCTGGCAAGGGGATACCCTATGATTAGTTGGAATGAAACTGTCTTTAATTATATGTTTAAGTACATTGAATTTGCTCATACTGAAACACATTAGAGGTACTTATTTTCTATGAAAGATACAGTCCTTTCACAAATTATTTTTTTCCAAAAGTAGGATATTAAAATATGGTGTTTATGCTAGACTAATAAGAATCCTGCTCCATTTTCTGATGTACTTAAAATAACGAAGCATGCGATCTTTTTTCTTTCCAGCTCTGTCTTGAATTGGCATTGCTGCCCTCCTGTTTCATTTTTATCTAAGTTGGCTTTAGCTTTTAGATGGTACCATAAGGTTTCTTAACAAATAACCATTTCTGTAATTTGTGTTTTCAAGTAGAAAACAATTCTCTTTTTTTACAGCTAATAAAGCAGCAGCAGGCTCCGGAAACCGTCCGGGGAGTGTAATACGTGTATATGGTGATGAAAACAGCGACAAAGTGACTCCAGGAACATTCATACCATATTGTTCAATGGCACACGCACAGCTTTGCTTCCATGGGCACCGTGATGCTGTTAAATTCTTTGTTGCAGTACCTGGTGAGGCTTTATTACCATTCTTCAGATAAAGTTTCTTTTTTGCCTTTATTTGCTTAGTTAAACATAGTGTTTAGGCAAAGACTGCTAGTGTATGAAATCATACATTCAAAGCTAATTTATTATATTTTACTTACAAGACTGGTTTGATTTCTGAGTGTGGTATTGTTCAATGGGAGGAGAAGGGTTTGGTCACAAAGTAGTAAGTGCTTTGCTTCCATCTGGGAGAAAGATACTGTGGTGAGTGGGTACTTGCCTATTAACAAGGCAGTCAACTACTAGTTGATGTAAGGTCCAATTTAAGAGTCTGGCATCCTGCAGGAAGGATGAGCTACTAAGGGAGAAGCCCCCAAAGGAAACAATCTTGAGCTGGAAAAATGAAGTTTCCCAGGAGCTGCAATGCCAGCTGAATAGTCTCAGTGCTTCCATCCACCTTGTGTGTTTGAAGTAAATGACAGAAATTTGCTTAATGGGCTGACACGCACTGAATCATTTCAGTTGTGTGTCTGAAAGTCTTTAAGTCTGTTTCAATGTCATTCTCTAGATCTGCATGCCTATGCTGTGAAATCTATCCAGAGGCATTTAATTCTCTGATTTCCATTGAACTGACCTGAACAGATTCTTTGTCTCTTTAGAGAGATGAAATTAGAGCAGAGCTAGCTTTCTGTCCCTTGCTGAAGAGATACTAGGATCCAAAGTTCAGTGTATCATTAGGCAATACAGGTGGTATTATTCTGTGAGATGTGGCATAAAAATGTATCTGTTTTTAATCCAGGTCAGGTTGTTTGCCCACAGAGTAGTGGTGGAACAGAGCTAACAGCTGATAAACCAGCCCAAGAGTCCTTCAGCCAGAGTCCCTTAAAATCCATGTTGGTGATAAGTGGTGGAGAAGGATATATTGACTTCAGAATGGGTAAGAAATACTAAGCTTAAAACCAGTTGTAACCCCTTCATACCGAAAGGTCATGAACCATATAATAACTTTGTGATTTCAGAGTGCGTGGGGTCAGTCAGTGTGTAGTCTTTACTGAGCAGGTGTGAGGATATCTCTGTTCTCCCCAACATACACCATCAGCTTGCTCTTCTCTTCCCAATAAACGGTGGCCTCTGAGTTGACTGTGTAAAAAGGTTTATTTGAAATTGTCCTTTGGAGTCATGTGCCTCCTTCCCATTTATGCTTTCAGTCTTACTTTGACAGGTTAGTCTTCTATCTCAAACTGCTGGAAAATATGTCCTTAGTTACTTAAATATGCAGACTTACTACAAAAAAAGTCATGTATTGTGTGAAGAACATTCAAACTAAAATTTACTCATTTTTGATTGAAAAGGGAAAAAGTAGTTCACTGTTAACCTTTGTGTGCCCTTCTTACTTTGATCACTGCTTTTTTTGAATAGTGCTTTTGCATGATCTAGTCCATAAAAGATTTCTTGTGTAAACGTATTATTTTTAATTGAAGTTGTTGGAGAAATATAACAAAATGAGAGTGGTTGTGGTTCTGTGCTTAAAATCTGCAGCTAGGACCTTGACAAAAAGTGCCTAAAAGAGTCACAACTCCGAGACCTGGTTTTGACCCTTTGCCTAAATCTGTCTATAGTGTTTTTCAAAAACAAACAAACAACAAAAAAACCACAAAAACCACTACAAAGAAAAACCCATGAAGGCGAGCCCAAATTCTGTCATCCCACTAGTCAATGAAAAACAAGTTCCTGCTGGTAATGCTGGTGGAGTTACGCAGGAGGCAGGACTTGAGGCAATTCTGTGCCACGCTGCAGCAAGTATTAGAAATGCTGCACTTGTTCCAAGCAAGCTGGTATAGCCACATACCGAATGTGCATTTTGCTGTCCTTGTGGCGTGATGCAAACCATGAACGTAAGTGTCAGTACTATGGCTGCATTAGCTCAGCCATGACCTCATTGGTGTGGCAAACTGGCTCAAGAGCAAGTTTAGATTCCTCAGACCTCCAGAGTTGTCTAACCAGAAAACCAGCCAAACTGTGACTTGAAACCTTCCTGAAGTTGTAGGTCAGTTCCCGTTTCCTCTGATTAAACTGACCTCCTTCTGTACCACAAGACTGCCTCCGTATTGATGCTTATTACAGTCTACGTGCAGTTTTGTTAGTGGTTAGTCTGTCACCTTTGATCCTAGTCAGCTCATGTCACCAAGAGTTTAGATGCAGTTACAAAACTGCTCTTCTCTTTTGAAGAGCAATAATGGAGAACAGGCTTAAGGTGGGTTGTTTTTTTTGTCAGCATGTGAAGTTGTGGCAAGTGAGGACAACTAGAACAAGAGGAAAGGAGGAGGAAGGTTTATTACAGACATGAATTGTTTCACTTGCGCTCAGTTACTGCTCTTATTTCCAGAGCACTTTAATGGTTTATGTGTTTATGCTCACACACTTTACTTCTGCCTGAGAGGTACTGCAAGTTTGCAAATTAGGTGCTTGTTTCTCTGCCTTAAAGAGTTACAAGTAATGTCTAGAATACGGATATTTATGAAACTGCAGTTAATCTTTGGGGCTAAACCTGAAAAATATGACTATCAGAACAGGCTCTGAAACAATTACACAACAGACTATCAGTTTATAATATATATTCACAATCTTGAAAATGCTTTTATAAGAGCATGAGGCAACTACTGTCTTATGTTGTTTATCTTGTAAACCTAGATGTCACTTGTGTTGTTCCTTTTGGTGTTAATGCTGGATTTTATTGCCTGCCTGAATCAAAGCTGCTGTTTTTCAGGTGATGAAGGTGGAGAATCTGAACTCCTTGGAGAAGCTCTACAACTTGAACCTTCTGTAGCCAAAGCTGAGAGGAGTCACTTGATAGTGTGGCAAGTAAAAAAAAAAAAAAAAAAAAAAAAAAAAAAAAAGAAAAAAGCTTCTGCATGTTTTTTTTATTTTGTGAAACCTGTTTCACTACATGATGTTGAAGCATTTCTTTGCTGTTTAACTTTATATTGCAAATTTGTCATACCTTTAACTATACAGGAATTAGCTTGTGCTGTTTTACTGCACCCGTGTTACATGGAACAGTATATTGAAATCAGATCTTTCTCAAAACTGGTGTGCACACCATAGTAAGCAACTGAGACATTAGTTTTACTGTACCACAGCAATCTAATGTAGTTCACTTCTTTGGTAGTCTCACTTGAGTTCAGCTTTATTACAACTGAGCTTCATTTCACCGCATAATGCATTGAGTAAAACAGCAAAGTTATTCCCAGAGTATTAAAAAATTGACAAACTATAAGATGATTATGAAGACTCATCCAAATATTCAGTGAGGGCTAAAGCAAACTGTAAATTTCAGCTTTTGTTTTCAAACCTGGAAAATCTTGCTTATGTAGTGTATATGGTTTAATTTGTTACGTTCATCAGAATTTCTGGGGGAAGAAGGGATTCTATAGGAACTGAGATGACAATATTTAAATAAAATCACATGTTTCCACTATTGAACCTTAAAGTTTGAGAACTGCTGCCCTCAATAATGACCAATTTTGAGCATAGTGTTTTTCCATTTCCCTGACATGGAACAACTCGGTTTCCAAAGGGTATTCTTAGGATGATTTAAATTTGAAAATAGATGTAAAATTCTTGAACGGGGGATATGGTTTTTTTTCTTTTCTTGTCTTAACTCCTTATGTCCTAAGCACTAGAATGATCTTCTCTGCCTAGCTGGTCAAACTCATGAGGCACTACATGTGTGAAGGTTAGAGACCTCGATTAGAGCATGAGAAAAGACTGAGAGTGTACAGGAAAAATGCATTCTGCCCAAGTGAGATTGTAAAGGAACTTTAGTGCCAGATAATTAGGTACAAAATGTATTTTTTTGTAGTTGCATACCCTAATTTAGTAAAAAAAAAAAATAAAAAAATTGAGCAACGATGTTAGCAGGTAACACTAAGATTGGGTAAATTGATGAAAGTCAGGAGACTCTAATATTAGGCTGACATTCTGTCTACTCACCATCTATTTTTTTAACCATAAGTGTGAGTTGAAGATTGTCTTCCTTTTACATTGAATTTCCTACATCAGTATCAGACCTAAGTTAAACACTTCATGATTTCTGTACTTCAGAATATTTTAAAATCCAGATTTGCTCTTTCATTTTGTCTCTGGAAAGTAAAAGTTTTGAGGGGTTTTAATAAACATCCAGCATTTGCCCCCAAAAGGCTGGGACTGTTCTGTTCAGATTAGCAGAGAAATTTAGTAACTATTGTGTGAGAGAACTGAACAGTTTCAGAGAAGTAAATATAGAAACACTTTTTTAAAACTGCCTAAACATTTTTATGCAATAGGAGCAGTTCTGGTCTATCAGGCAAACATGTGTTTATATATTTTCTTAATTTTTTAAATGAACACATTTAGCTGAGGTCTATTGTGTAAATATATATTTAGGCAGCTTTTTCAAATGCATATCATAGCTGATAAACCAGAAAAACTCCATTCAGGTCTATTGGTTAGATTTATATGTATAAATACTTTTTAAGCGACATATTTTGTACACAGCTGTTCCTCTCGTAAATATGTATTTAGGACATGAACTATGTAGTAAAAATCCTTATTAAAGATGTCTAATATCTTGGTAGTATTTTTCTCTTCAGAATGCCAAAAGTGATGAGAGCATGTTGTTCATAATTTGCTTTCCAAATTCATCTTTAACGTCACTCTTAAAGTACTTTGGCTTAAATATAAAGTCTGGGAGCTTTTTAAAAATTACACAAATACAGGAAGTAAACTGAGTAAACACTCTTAGACCTGTTTAAAACTTACATAGACATGTATGCTGAACCTGAAGCACATCTGAATTATGAAATTTGACGTCTACAAAAAATGCTGTCTAAACTTTTACTGTTGTGCAGAATCTTCACTGTGAGTGGTGCAGTTTCATTGCTTTTCCTGCCATTTTCTTAATTTTTTTTTTTTTCTCTTTGGAAAACAGTCTCCAAAGCTTTTACTCACTGGTTGATTGTCACATTCTCATGTTCTCAGAAAAAAAGCGCACAATTCTGTTCCTTGGTTCTTGTATAGCATTTTATTTGTAACTAGTGATGAGCCGTTTTCTCTGAACGGCTTTACTGCTATCAAATAGAGCAGTTCAATCTGGCAAGTGTGTACCTGGTCTTTTGCCAAATGTATCTGGTCCACCGTGCCATTTTAGTCACCTCAGTGGACCAACTCTTGCAAATTTTTCAGAGAATGATTGTTTCTGTCCAAAAGTGGAAGGGTTTTAAAGAAAACAGTAGGTTAACTGTGTACCACTGTGGGTGTAGATAAAAGGCATGTGCACTTCTCTGTGTTTCTCATTAAAAAACTTTATCCCCTGTCCTAAGGTACAGTAGATTAAATAGGTCCCTGTTGTCATCACAGCGCACTGGGTTTTATAAACTCTGCGTGAGGTCGCTTTGAATGGTGAATAAAGCACGTGAAACCCCAGGCATGGAGATGACAATACACTCCTACGAATCCGTCTCAAGAATGTGTTTATGCATACACTCATGTGATTAAAGCATCATATAAATAGGAGCTAATCTCTTGATAGCTACAGCTTGTTAATAGTTTGGAAACATTTCGAGCACAAGATATGCAGCACATTACTTGCCTGGGTAAGGGTGTTTGCATGGTAAAGGTGAACTGCGTTGTATAAGCTGCTGCATTGTCCATTTCTTGTAAAGGTCTTCCTGCGTTGGATCAGATAGAGCTGGCAGAGCGTAGACACTTTATCATAGGCTGCCTTAGTAACAAACGTTAAATCTGTTTTATTATACTAACTGTTCTAAAGAACGTGTGTCTTTTAAAATGCTGTGTAACTGAATATTTATTTCCATGTGAGTATTATAAAAGTTACCAAAGGATTAAACCTGATTTAGCACTCTTGTAAGTGGCCCTGTTGAGACAGGGTCTTGTGAAGGCCCTGCTCTGTAAAACAAGACACGGTAAACTCAAATACGGTTCTTTAGGGAAATTAAATGTTTTTTCTAACAGGGTTATGCCATATTGTAACAACTTATGTTGCACCTCAAAGCATTTTTCTATACACTAAATGTCTCTCCCGCCCTCTAACAAGATTAAGTTTCCTTTATTAATTTTGTTGATGCACATTTCTCAATCTTTTAAGCATATATTTTAAACATTTTATGGTCTGTAATTTTTGAAAGTTTTGTCTGTTGGACACTTTACGCTGAATTTTACTTGCCTCTGTAATCCGAGATGGATCCTACAGCGTTAAACTTGCTGTCTGTTAAAACTTGAGGCTTCTTTTCTGTGAGCAGAAAAGCTCATATAGCAGTGTAGTTATTTCCGTATTTATTTCTATTATTGAATCCATGGGGTTCAGAATGTAACTTTGTACATGAAATATATATAAATATGTATATGAAACATGCATTGGATTGGTGTGTTCTTTGTAGTCTCACGTTAAGCTCAGAGGTTTTTGATGCTGCCAGAAGGCATGGTAATTGGGTGTTTTACACTAGCAGCCAAATGTTGCCATCATAAATACAGGTAGTAGTGTATTTGAGTCAGCCTACAACTTGTGTAATCCTTCCATCTCATACGGGGCTTAAGCAAAAACTCTGAAGGAAAACTTTGTTCACTGACTGGCTCCCAAATGATGCCACACTGTCTTTGCCTCTTACGTGGCTCTCAAACCTGCTGATTCATAGGCTGAGAATCTAGAGGAGACACGCTTAACTGCAGCTCAGATGAAATGGGTGCTGGCACTGGAATTTATTTTTCAAGTTTTCTTCACACCTTATCCAAGATTCATCTAAGCTCATCTGCACGCTGGTTGCTCACTGCATGGCAGAGGAAATACTGTATTTATAAGGCAGAAGAACAAGGACTCGGTAACAAGAGATATATTTCTACTGCAGAACAGAACACTTGCCTAGAGCCAGGTTTTCATTTTTTCCTGGCTCATCTGCCACTTTCTAACCACATTTGTCCCAACAATTTATCTTGATTAGTATGTAACAAGTGGCCATGCCACTGAAAATATTTGGTTAACCTTTGTTACAATGGATTGAGGAGTCCCCCTCCTCCTGCAGTGAAAACACTGGGTCCTGCTGTGCCTGGGGCTCCGTGCGGGCAGGCCTTGCCTCGTCTCTGAGTGTGCAAGCACACCTTACTCTCACTTCTCTCCGGTTGGAGTGAAGGGCCCGCATAAAGTTGTTGCTTTGAATACCTCCAGGATGGAAATGCTTCATACTTGCACATGCAAACATGGGAATCATTCACGGTTCAGAAAATGCAAAGTGGACCGTTACCAGTGTTACATCAACTTTAAATTTTATTTTCTTCATGCTTAAAAATAATATTTTTGCTCAATTACTGGAGTTTCATTGCAAGATATACTGACAAAACTTCACTCTCCATAACAGTGTTTATTCTTGGGATGTGTCCATTCACATGCATGTCACGTCATTGCGCTGTGCTAAGACTCTGTGTGTGTATTAAATAGGAAGAAACATAAATCTTTACTCTGGAAATGTTTAAGCTCTTTTGGCAGCCCCTCGGGTTGGTGGGTAAGTTTTCAGATCCTGTATTGAGAGAGAAGTGCTATGAGAATCGTGAACTGGGTTAAGGCGTTGCGAATGATATCTGGAGACTGAAGTTTTAAGCCATTATAACTAGCCAAGCCTTTCTGCAATGGACATGGTGATAATAGAAGCACTCACAGGTTCTGTAGAAGATTTTAAAAAAATAACTCAGTTGTATCAGTCGCCTATAAAAAGAGGTATTCAAATCAAAATACCTAGAATATTCATAACCATACAGGAATTGAAAATATTTCAATGTGAATGTTCTTTATAGGGAAAAAACCTTTTTGCTGGAAACTAAGCCTAGAACTTAGTGAGATTGAGGCAATTTCCCTTTTTCTACACTGGTATAGCAAACCTAAATGAGGGATTCTTTTTGCTATCACCCTGCTTTTTCAGCACCCTGTATTTGAAAGCTGTTTGAGCAATACGGTCTGTTTAACATTATGATGATCTCTGATGCTTAAGTGTCCTTAATTCTACTGTAAAGCAAGCTTTGAGGGAGCTTTTTAGCCTTGGACCATGCTCCGATTCATGGCCTGGCCTTTGGGACTTGCTGCAGGTTTGCATGGTTATAGTTAACTTCTTAAAAAGCTACTTAGAGATGACAAACCCAAGTATGTGAAGTGTCTTCCTGCTTTTCAAAACACTCTGTAAAGTGGTGGGAAGGGAGCTGCTGAGAAGTGATGTAGATTGTTGCTTGCTATTGTCTGTGAGTGTAAACAGGACGGAAACCCCCAGGCCTGGCGCGGTCTGTGGTGTTTAAACACAAGATGGTGCTCTTACAGTTCGGTGACAACAGGGACACCTCGAGGGAAAACTCCCGCTGGAGTATTCTCTTCTCCCCGTCTGTCAGCATCCATGTTTCAGGTTTCCTCTAACATCTCTGCAAGGTGAAGATGTTGTGTCGGAGGTTAAAGAAAGTAAAGGAGAATCAGTCTTTGATCATCAGAGGGTTCAGGCGATGCCTCTCCCTCGCCTTCACCTCCGTGGCGATGAAGTCGTGTTGTGGGGATTTGTTTGCTGCAGGTACAGCCCTGGCCCTGAGGCCGGCCTGGAGCTCCTGACCTGGGACCTCCTCAGCCCATTGCACCTAGTGCTTAGAAAAAGGAAAGGAAAAAGGTTTCTTTCTTTAAAAAAGGTCAGGCCGAGCAGCCCCTGTGGCCCAGCCGCGGGAAGGAGCCCGGCAGGGCGGGTGCTGCCCGCAGTGTGCACCGGGGCCAAGCAGGGGTTTTGCAGCGTTCCCCTGCCTGCCCCTTCCTCACCTTCAGGCATGTCCTGCTCCAGTTGGCAGGTGGGGCATTACGGACCCCCCTGAATTCATGCCCTCTCTGCAGAACGGCCCTTTAAAAGCTTTAGCACACGCGTGGCGGCTCTGGCTGCAATGGGGAGGGGGCTGGTGCTCTTCTCTGGCCACAGACCTTCCCCTTCCATCGTCCACCCTGAAACCAAGGGCTTGGGGACGCGCAGGGGGTTTCTGCAGTGATGGGGGGGGGGTGTGTGTGTGTTTGCTGCCGTCACCTGCTGCTGCTTCCACCCCTGCACAGAATGTCACCGTGCCCAGCGCTCTGGCTTTGTAGGCTCTCGGGTCTGAAGCTTAACTAAGGAAGGAAAAAAACAACTATACTGGAAACTCCTAGACTTCACATTTACTTTTCCCTTCCACCTTTCGGCGTGTGGGGCCGACATGGGGAGCACTGTGGCCCGGGGGGCCCTGCCCCAGCTCTGCGCTGGCAGGGAGGGAGCTGCTGCCGGCTGGGTCCCCTGTCTGGACAGCGTGGTGGGGGTGGCAGTGCTTCGTGATCGTGGCATCGTTACGCTGCCTCATAGCCAGGACTGCAGGTTCTCAGGGTCTCCCTTTAAAAAAAAAAAAAAAAATTAGACTGACGTTTGCTTTGAGTTTAAGTAGGAAAAAAAAAAGCTGATAGGTTCTGCAGCGGGTCCGACCATGTGTCCTGGGGTGCTGTCTGATGCAAATGCCTGGAAGAGAGAGCAAGAGTGGGGCAGACCTGTAGGTCACCCCGCAGCTTGCTACGCCTTCAGGCTTTAAGTCTCAGTTTCTACCTTGTGGAAACAACTGGATTGATGGAAAATGGGGCAGTTGTCTGCATCCCAGGAGGAATAAAAAGCAGGAATTCAGAGAGCTCATTGGTTCATAAAAGCAGCTAGAATACCACTGGATACTTCTCTGAATGTGGGAAATACTGAGAATGTGATAAAGCTTTACACTTCTTCTACCATTTATGTTTCTTGAGCTGCTGTGCAGCCGCTCTTGGTAGATGCTGTTGCAGAGTTGTGAGTGCCAGGCATGGCTCCGTCCCTACTCGCCTGGGGCATTTGGTTTCTACTCGCAGGGACAACAGAGAGCTGTCTGCGGGGATGAGAAGCATGTGAATCAGGTGCGAAGAGTTTCAGTCTTCCAGGCCAGACCTGGCAGTGGTTTGGGGTTGGTAATTGCACGGGAAAGTGGTGTTAAAGGCTGATGGGGGAGGCTGAATCCAGGAGAGAAAAGGTGCTGAGGACTTTTTTGGCTGCTAATTGATGTGTTCAGTGACAGAACAGCAGGATGTGTGTGTGGGCAGGGAAAATTGAATTCTTGTCAAAATTGCCCAAAAGGTAATGAAAATGCCTGAGATAAGAGAGGTGAATTGTGCGGCATCCACAAAACCATTAGAGTCCGGTTGACTCACTTGCAAATAAACACTGTGTGGGTGCTCACTGGCAGAAAAAACTCTTCTGCCCTTTGCAGATGTGCCTGTATCTCATTCCTCCTAGGAAGGATGGATGGATGGATGGATGAATGGATGGATGGACGGACGGACGAACTGGGTCCCTGTGCCTTAGCCAGGTCTCAGAGGTGCGGGGGGAGCAGGATCAGCCCCCAGCAGCAGCATTGTAACCTTGGAGCACCAGACATGAGGTGCCCATCCTTGCCTTGCTGCAGGGGGCTGTGGTCTTCCATGGGTGGGAAGAGAAAAGCAGAAAGGACAGACATCTCAAGAGGGGGAGGTGGCCCCAGGAACACTATAAAACACCAGGATGGAGAGTAAAGACTTCATGCAACAGGGCTTACCCTGAAACAGTTTTGCTGCCTTTTGGGTGATGACATGCTGTTAAACCAAACCGCCATCAGCTCAACACAACAAGCCCGATGACCAGCTTTTGCAAGAGATTTTAAGAGTCATTTCTCAGCCATATGTCTGAACTTTTTAGGGTTCTTGGAAGATCTGTCACCGTAGCAACCCACATCTGCAATAAAGCCCAAAATGTCTACTTTGGGCCAAAGCTATGGCTGAACTGCTACAGTGAGCTGTGAACAGAGGGGTGGGTGTGTAGCTCAGGTGCAAGGCGAGGTGGAGCTTGTGCCACGAGCCCTTTGGGGCTGGTCCTCCTGGGAGAAGTCATGGCTCTTCAGACCCTGCCAGCCTGGGCTCTGCTATGGTCCTGGTTTGCAAGAGGGTCAGGGCTCTGATGATCAAAAGCCATTTATTTGGTATTGGGAAGGCAAAATGCCTACAGCTGGCCCATTCTCATGAAATGGAGTAGTTGTAACTGCTGTGGGGCTTATCAGAGAGGCCAGAGGCATCTGAGCCCCTCTCGCATGACAGCAGCAGAGAGCGCAGGGGAGGTGGTTCCTCACCACACCGGGTCCCCAGAGGTGATCGGGGCAGCCAGCCTCACCTGGATGTGCCCTCACAGTCCTTCAGCCTGGGAATCATACATATGGGTCAGAAACAGGGCAAAAGAAACCATGGAGGAAACTCATTTTTTTCACGGAGGAGTGAAGAGACTTTAACAAAGCTTTCCCTGAGCCAACAGCAGTGTTTCGGGCTGACAGCAGCACTT